TGGTTAGACTCTAACGGTGACATAATCGTTTGCTAAGCCATTTCATTGTCAATGGAGGACGGGATGTCATGCTACAGTACTTGATCGTGACCAATAGACTTGAGAGAATTGGGTAGTGCATCCCTTCCAAATATACAGTAGTTTTAACAGAAACAAAGACATTCGTTGTATGAGTTGGATTACAATGTATGTTAATTGGTAACTTTTTTTTTAAAAAAAATATTGTAATAACAACTTTGCCACTAGTCTCCAGAAACATTTAATAGAAATTCTCAATCTACTTACACAACAAGTACACTATTTTTGCATTGCCCACCTGCCCGTCATAGTCATTTGTTCTATCTCTAAAACACGGTTTAATGACGTAAGCCACCAGAGGGTAGAGGCATCGTTTATAAAGTGTTGGCGATTAAGGATCTTACTGTTCGAAAGTATCTTCCACAAATATTGCAGGCATGTCATTATTATTATCATCAACAGATTATGACACAAATTGGACATCACGTGATCTAAAATTTATTATTTAAACTCGCGTTTTTTGCTCAGCTCAAAATTTTCGTATCCACATAAGACTAAAACAAAGACCAAAACTAAGACAAAACTAAGATTAAAATTAAGAGTAAGAATAAGCCTATATTAATATCTAAGTCTAAAATTAAGACTAAAACAGAGATTTAAAATTAAGACTATGGAAACGCTCGAGGCAGATATTCCAAAACCAAATTGTACGTTTTTTTTTATTATTTGGTTTTACGAGATGTGGATAAGTAATTAACTTGAAATTTGTAGATTGCAATAAACGATAAAATTATACAATTAATAAGGCCCTTCACGAAACTCAAGCAGAACCAGAGGCTTTATTGGACCAAAATTTCATAGAGCAAGTTTGAGTTGGGAGAGAGACACATCTTTGAATTACAATTGTAATTACAGAAAGTCGAGAAATTAATTAAAAAATCAGCGGAAAAAGGGGAGCGGCAAACGGCAAGCAATACATCAATACATATAACAGAAGAAGAAACAGTTGGGCATTAGAAAGTCTGGAGATATTAATTCCATTTTCAATAAAGGAATATTTAGAAAAGTAAATATCCATTCGGTATATTATACCGTTAAATATATGAAAACGGTGTTACGAATAAAAATTGCAAATTGTGACGCGTAAACCCTCAGCGATTTTATATAAATAATTTAATGACAAATAGTAGAGTTTTACATCACTTTATTAATCTGCAGCTTTTGGAAATTTATAATAAAGACTTATGGCGAGCAAAATTTTTGACTAGGCTGTGATTTAATTAAATTGACAATATCGTGACTTTCCTGCACGTATATGTTTCTATCGATAATGGATATTATTTTTATTACCATTAATCATACGCCAGATTAAATCGAGTCAAGCCAACAGTACTGTAGCTGATTTGGTTCGGACTAAAAGCATCGCAATTGAAGGATAAATTGCACTGTGAAGAACTGTTTATAGTACTCTTTTTACTACGATATAATCCTGATCAAATTGCGTTCAAGACTCGTAAATTAAAGAATCAAAAGTTAGAATGACAAAAAAGCTTCCGTAACTCTCGTACATTTATTAGTCAGGTAAATACCATTAGTAATTATGCATACTGACACCACAGCACTAAAGCCACATCATCGAAGTCACAGTATCATTAACTTTTTTTGTGTTTTAAATATTGGTTAGTCAATCGAAAAAAATGTGGGATTAGCAATAGAGAGTAACATTTACTCAACATCGTTGCACAACGGCCATGCAGGAAATTGCAAAAATCGACGTGTTAGTGTGGCTGTTGACGTAGCTTCTTGATTGAAATTTTACGCGCAACAGAACAATTTTAATTTATCTTGGAAATTATGTTTATGACAACGGCAAATGCATTACTGATTATAACTTTTCCAACAACATAACGACCCAAAACCTACCTCACAAGACATTCAAGATATAACTGAGCATACTAATACAGAATTATTGTATTTAATATCAGAACATTTTACATATTAATCAATAGTACTACACCTGACATTCAAATGTCACTCCTGACTGTGACTGTTGTTTATTCTATTGGTTATAAAACAGCGTACAATCTGAACTAGTACTAGGAAGACAATTGAAACGTACTATTAGCTATAGTTAGCCATTAGTTGCCTGCAATTTTTGAACCCCCCTTTTTCTACCCATGTTACTATGCTATTCTAATTTGACTAACTATTACTAATACAAATTGTAGATATAGACATAATAATAACATACATGTAATTGAAGCACTAACAAAAAATTTCATAATTTTTTCACAATTTTTGTATTTTTCGCTGATAGACAGTATGGGATAACCTTTTATTTATTAATTAAAAGCATACTTATATCAATCTAGATATTATAGCCAACATTTCTATGTGAGATAATGCATGCCTAAAGGCAAGCATTTTTTTAATTTATTTTTGATCAGTAGTAGTAGGCTCAAAAAATACAATTATCTCTTTTCTATCAATTTAAATAACACATCTCATCTTTTCACTACATATTAATATACATTCCAGAATAACATGCTTTTGGTCATTTTTTCTATCATATCACTGGTAGATATCTCATATGCTTGTTATGTTCAAATGGGGGACAAAATCGGACAAAGTAAATATAAACATGACATCATAATAAATGAGAGGTTGATTATGACGTGCCTGTAAATTGACCAGTGTGACAGATGATGTTTTGAAAGAAATAATGTGCTCATTCATAACTTATGGACTTGTTAATTTTAATGCTCACTTTATTATACCAAAATGAAATGAATATAACCATAACATAATTAATATAGTAATAGGATTACCTCTTACTCTATGTATAAATTACAAATATAAAACTAATCTACTAAGACTGGGATTCAAACCCCGGGAGAAGCATAGCAATTAATATTGATGTTTAACCCATTGCTGGATAAAATTTTTTTTGGCTTAGACCTCTGTATTAGTATTCTACTGGGGTGTGGTTATTGTGATTCAATCAAAGGCATCAGACCACATCATGATTACCTCAACACCATTGTCTATTACAAACCATTACCCATAGTTATATTGACTACAGCAAACAAATTTAAAAATATCTCCTGGATGTTTGTATAGAATTCTGAATCCAGACACTCATCCATCCGACATACCAACTATCCCCACATCATTAACTTCCACTTAATATTAACATGCTGCACTGTCAGTATACCACCAGGCTTTTTCCATACCCACTCACATCCATCAGACCCTATTACTATTACTATATGATTGATTTTGGTCTCATCCAACCAGATTTCCAATTGTCTATTTATATTGTCCAGTGTTGGTACTTTTTAGACATTGGCAAATATGTCTAGGTAAAAGCTGCGGTTTCTTTTTCTTCTTTCAAAGCACAGCATACTGTCTCAGCACATTGCTAATATCCCTTAACTCTCAAGCAACTTGGGTAGCAGAATCTGCCTTACCAGATTAAGATGTAATCATACAAACTAATTTATGCTTCTGTTGGTTTAAGCTTATTTGGCTGTCCACCCTGACTTTTTTGTATGACTGGTGTTGACTTTCCACATACTACTACTACTGAGCCCAGTTTAAAATTTGCATTTTTCTTCACACCTCTGAGGTCCATAAACAGGGAAGGAGTGGCACATATGGCACATATGGTCCATAAACAGGGAAGGAGCAGCACATATGGTCCATAAACAGAGAGTGAGTGGACATATTAATATGGTCCATAAAATGGCCGTATATCGAGTATAAACTCACACCCAACTCTGTAGTATAAGTAGTAGCAATTTTACATGCTGACAATGAGAGTTCAAATGCTTTTTCTTAAAGGTTACAATCCCCTATCAAGCAGGGAAACAACATTATTACAAGTTTCTTCAGAAATGGGTTTCATAATGTATTACTATTACTATGGGGGGTAGAATATAAACAGGCAACGTTATTTATGTGATAACGAAAATTTTTAAGAACTCTGCCTGATCATAATAATAACTATCGCGAGGATCATAATAATAACAGGTTGAAATGGAAAATGCCATCGGTCATCTGACAAACCTACATTACACAAAGCGTTCTTTGTAAACCCCAGATTGATGTGGTGGCGCAAGCTTGTTTAACAGCGTACTAAATCATTTGATATTATCTATTGTATTACTATTACAATTTCTCTCCTTTTTCCGTTCCTCCCGTTATTATTAGGATCCAGTTGTATAGACCGACCTTTCCTCAGACATCATAGTGTACTGTATAAATAATATATTGTACTGTTGAAGAATTTCAATCACTGATCGAATCCATCTTACTGCGATATTGGGTTGATATGTACGCCACTGTGAGAAGATACAGAAACAGGTTTATACACGTATATCTGCATTCATTCCGCCAATAAGGTTCGTATTCGATCTTCGTTCGTCGATTGAGGGTGCCCGTATCTATAGGGAGTGCCGTATTTGCACAAGAGATGATAAATTTCATGTGCTATTTTCAGGTTCTTGTGACAATGCTTATCATCCGCATCTCGAATTTGTGTTCGCGTCAACTTTCCCTGGTTGAGAACAGTTATACCTCTCAGAGATAGAGCGACTTACTTGCATGCCCATAGGGCTGAATGCAAGGTCGCAAGGTAAATAGGAATTCAGTAAGATGCGTTAATTGCAAGTGACGGACGTTTACTGATATTGTATGATTATTACAGACCGATTCTTAACATGCTTATTGATCACTGGATGGGAATATCCAAAGCTTTGAACGTCACTAACGATTTAATTTTGATAAGCGGGTAAGGGTGATGTTATTATAATACTGTGGTTGAGATATATAAACAACAATAGTTTGGCAAGTTCCGTCTTTATGTATAGTTACTCGGTCCATATTTGCTCATCAATTTGATCAACCAAGTCATTTAATATTAATTCTTTGTCCTTTTCAGATAGCCCAAACGACCGACACGATTTCAAAGAAGCCATGGAATGCCTGAAATGATTGAGGTAATATATTAATTTTGTTGTTATCATGTATGCTGCAATAATACATACATTATAACGTAATATGGCATTTTAAACCATCTTATTCTAGCTCCGCCCCATTTTAAACATCTTGAGAGGTTACTCGTACATTATCCTGATGCGAGCATTCCGTTCATGATTACTTTCGTTTCACTTAGAGATTACGAACACTTAGAGATTACGAACACTTCGGAGACGTGATCAAACACGTGGGAAGAGATCCTATTCTCTTAGTAGCAGCAGCTATCAGACGAAAATTGCGTTTTAACGCAAAGTTTGCGAATATTGTCAAGATCGCGGCAGTACTCTTCGTAGCCAAATTGTCAATCCGACTTTTTCCATCTCAATCTCCCAAATCACCTTTTTGTTGATGATGACTACGATACCTGGGTTCCGTCTGATCGACGAGTAAAAGTCGGCTGGCTCGAAAAGAGTCCAAGAAACAGTAACTGGTTTCTATTCTACGAAAAGAATGAGGGCTCGTGGCATGCCCTGAAGATGAATATCGTGTTGTGCTCTGTACTCCCAGACGACTGTCCGATGACGATAGCCTTGAAGACGGCCTTCCACCTCGCAATACTTACGAGACCAGGATTCCGGCTGACCCACTGGACGAGGGGTTGGACTTATATCGCCAGCGTCTTCATGAGAAAGACTTTAAAAGATATCATGGTAACTACAGAGGCTATAAACGTGCCCCTCACTTATCTACTTAGAATGGTGAGAACAAGGACCAAATTCCGCTCGACTTGTTCAATCTGTTCAATGTCTGGAATTAGCCCAAGTGTCAGCAAAGACGTTAGGAAAATTTTTTTCTTGCTCGCACATCGATACACGACAGCACTTTTGGCTGTCGAACAGAGCAGTAAGCATAGTCTACAACATATGGTTGTTCTTGTTCATATTGTTAGTCTTTACTAATAAACCGCCAATTATATTTAATACAGCTTGCTCTGCCTGCATTACTCATTCTGTTTAATACGGAAATTCAGGTACATATGTACCATGTATACTGAAGCTATAGATCCTTGCGCCTCAGAGTGGATCTTTGTCGGATTGTGCTTGCGTGGTGAGTGGGGTCATGGGCGAAAATATGGGAGACGTTTGTGCTATTTAAGCGGATGGACCAAGTGTAGGGAATATTAATGGAATTAAACAAATCGTATAGGACTCTATTGGGAATGACAATATCAATGTATACGAGAATGCGGTTATTGTATGCAAAATGTTCAATGGCATTTCTCTTACGAAAATTTCACGATAACTTCAAGCTGTAAGTGAATACTAGATGCGTAAATTGTGAATTGCATATACTACTAAGGAAATCGCGGAATGAAATTGTTTTGAACTTTTCTATCAGCACTATTATTTCAGATGCTAACCGCTCATCTGTGTTAATAACTCCTAGAATAGTTGCAATGCACACTATTCCGACCAGACCACGTCCCGTGACAGTTTCACATGTTAACAAGATGGTTGGAAACGGTAGATCAAGTGAACATTGTATTGAGAAAAGGAGGATATGTGGGCATCGCAGGTCTTTTCGAATATAGAATTGAGCTCTTGAAGATGATGGAGACGGTGAGGAAGTTGATATACTATGTTTAAAAGAGAGGTGGAATGATAGTCTACGATTAGAAGGAAAATGAGCGTGAAGAGAAACACGAAAATTTTGAGAGAGGTGGTGTTTGCCAAATTGTAGATCGATAGCCCGGGCAAAAGGTGTTTATTATATTGAATAAGAACTTTGGTAAGTTGAGATGTGTATGAATTCGGAATGGTAATGTATAAGGGGAAAGGATGGCGGCTGTGCCGTGCGTGACGTGTAGTCGTTCATATTATCTTAGTTTCTTTGATTATGTCTAGGCTGCCCGTGTTAACAGATCTTTTGGATCTTTCGCTTATATTTGTGGCGATACGATATATAATATTCGATTCTCGACATATGGACAAATATTATCGACAATGACTTCTTGCTGACGGACTTAGGTGAGTCAAGTTAAATGGTAAAAAGGGATATCAATGGGAAATCTGTTCGCAGTCGGGTTTCAGAAAAATATAAATGGAGCAATCGAGAAGATACGGTAAATAACGCTTTTTTTTTCTCGATTAGAGAATTCGTTATATGATTCAAGACAATCTAAGATTTCATTGAAGATTATCCTCCCATATTAATTAAAACTGCTCTCACTGGACGAGTCAAGCGTTTGCCAGCGTAGTTGGGAAAAGTCTTTCCAAACTCCGTCATGAGACGGCATGAATTCTTTATCAGATTCCACATACAGTAAAATGAAGATGTCAGTTATAAGCCATTAGTTACTATCGTTATCGCAACTGCATAAGTATAACACGAAGAATACTACACCATTAAAGGATTCTGTAATCTTGATCTTGCCCATTCACTCATTATTAAACCATAGACAGTATCTTGAGTTGAGGTTATCTGACGGCTGATCTAAGAACTGACAGTTGCCAATTCGTGCTTTTTCACACAACAAAATAATTCGATAACATGATTGATCAATGGCAGGAGAAACTTGAAGATTAAATAAGACGTTTCGTCAATAAACCAAAATCTATATCAATCTATGCAGGCTAGATTTTTAGGCTAGATTTTCGGAAAACTTACTCGAATGCCTAATTGTGCGCCATCCAACTTCCACACACTTAAAGCTCTTTTGCTTCATAGAAGACTTCGCTGCGATCGATCATTTGAGCCCGACGTCGTCGACATTACCAATGGAATTACATCTACATGCACATGTAAACGTGTCTATACACTGACACGCCCATCAGCCAAGTTAAAGTGAGAGAGTTTGAAATTTTAGCATAATTTCGCATTTTATGCCGATCATCATCATGTGACGAATACTTTTGATCACCCACCTCTTGAGCTTTCCGTTGCCATAAAGTTCTGGGTTGCGCATAAATCATACAGTGAATGAGATAGATAAATAATTCCATGTGCATGTTCATAGAAATTTAATCAATTCGATTATTTTCTAAGTTTTGGCCTAAGTTGCGGTAAGTCTGCACGTGATGTAACTCTCAAGGATCGTCATTTTCTCTATCACGTACAAGGTCGATTTTTCCGAAGACACTAATGACCGGAAATACTGATTACGAGGCGGTCATACGAGAAATATAACTAATATTGCGCTGGGTATCAAGCCGATCTTTTGACGTGGCAAGCGCAGTAGCAACTCTGGCTTACCAACAAAAAAATTAATAGCCTTAGTAGATAAGAAATGAATTAAAATCACAATTACAATGTTCTTCCAGCATTGATGTTACTGAACCGAATAAACAACGCCACAAGCAGAAACCTGTAAAAGTCTAATTGTACACATAATACTAATAAATTATATCATTCGACGCTTGATAAGTCTCTAACTAAAAAACTCGTAGAATAACAAAAGCGCGTTTAATATTAAAATGTATTCGAACTTACCATAAGTCTTTCGTAATTGTTGATATTGATACGGTTTTTATCTAAAGACCTTTGAAAGTGATTTACTTTAAAATATTAATTATCCAGATATACTTATGAATGGCTCACTTGAAGTTGTATAAACGGCTCATTAAAGCTGTAATTAATTACGCGCGGAAAGCGGGAACGAGAGTCGATGATTAATATGGTAATAGTTGTGTAAGTTGTTTAATCGAAGTTCGTCCATTTAAATTAGAATATATTCCCCTTCGATTCTGTAATATGATAATTATTATCGTGATTGTTATTATCATATTATAGTTACTCTTATGTAATGGTAAAAGGATACATTAACATAGAAAGTTTAGTATTAATTGACGGAGATATTTTAAAAATTTCATTGTATTTGAATGTGCAATATACACAGTGAGCTGATGATGCCTCCAGTACAACGACAAAATTAATTCAGCCTATAACAACGCACGAGGCAGCCACAACAATACAGAAAGTGATGGAGGATTCTCCAGTGTGAATGTATAAAAATCCATGATGGGAAAGGCTGGATAGAGAAATGGAACGGAATGAAAATAGGTGGACTATCTACGTTCCCCGTCTCAGAAGTCATCCCCTACATTTGCAATTAATGCAATTACCGCACCATTAATAATAAATAGTATATAATATGCTAGGCAGTAAAATTACAAATTTATCTAAAACATAGGTTTTTTATTCTACGAAAAAGTTATGCGACTCGAATATTGGTAAAAGTTAAGCCGCATACAGAAACATGTGCCCTGCCCGAATATTTTGCCTTTTTTTGCACGAGTTATTATAACACGCATTTATTGGATAAATTAAAATGTCATGTGAATTATTATTATAATGCAGAGCAAAATACGCAGTAAAAGCAACGTTGGATTACCCGTATATGGAAAATTATAATTATAACGGTTCTACAGAACATGAAAAAGCAATGCGTTTCTTGGAGATAGGTTGTAAATGTGGTTGTTCAAAAATGATTCCGAGAGAAAAGTTTGCTGAATTACGTGAGGCGTTTCAAGCCCTCTCTAGATCTGAACAAGATATATTTTTAATGGCCCAATTAAAAGCAATGAATGGCGGAGAAATAACCGCCAGTCGACGTCTCAAAAAGAAAACGCGTACTAATAAGAGAACTTTTTATTATTGAGATCGCAATACGCTCCTCTGTCAGAAAACGTATCTAAATATGTTAGGAATTGGCCGTACGCACTTCGAAAACGTTAGAAATCACTTGGCGACGAATGGTATCATACCTCGTGTTCATGGTAACATCAAACAAATGCCACGATGGAAAACCAAAATAACCATTGATATAAACGTTGCCACTGCCGTAAAGAATTTTCTCGAAAACTATGCGGAAATTCATGGACTACCAAGCCCTGGTAGAAATGTCAATCGAATTACGCAAACGCTTACACTTTTACCAGCCGAAACGAGTTATAAATCGGTCTATCGCGATTTTATTGCAGGTCTCGAAAACGATAGCACGTTGAAATTGTTAAATATGATGCATTTCGCAAGTTATGGCACCAATTAACGCCCTATATTCAAATCATGAGTCCACGAACGGATTTATGTGACACGTGCCAACATTTTCGGAACGGCTTACAATACAATGCTCGCAAGGAAGAAGACGCGAAAGATTTATTAAAAAAATTCAAAGAACATTTAGTTAAGGCTAAATTAGAAAGAAATTATTACACTAAAAATACGAAATTAGCAAAATAACAGAGAAAATTGGTAGATAAGCGTTTTATAACAAGAGGCAAAGCTGATTGTTGTAGTATTGACGCGATTGCTCATTACAGTTACGATTGAGCACAAAACGTTCACGTGCCCCATTCTGGTCAACAAGTAAGTAAGATTTACTATCTCAGTCCGCGTAAAGTGCATTTATTTGGTATTCAAGATGAAGCAGTACGCGAACAAATTAATTACGTTCTC